GAGAGAGAGAGAGAAAGACATTTTCCTTTTTGTACTGCACATAACAATGTTATGCTTGTATCTTACTAAGGCAAAACAGAGCGGGTGTTTATCTCTTCAAGAAGTTGTTATAAACGTTAGACACTTTAAAAGGGGAGAAAGAGAAGTATGCTGATACGTTTTTCTCATATTACATTTGGAGTCAATATGTGCCAAACACTTCAATTTCGTTAGTTATGAACCAGAAATTCAGACGTTTTTCCTAGATGGTGCAGTTTTCATAACAACGGGCACTGCTAATCTACAGTCAATTTTAGCTTTGCCTTGAAGATATGTGAGGAGAGTAAAACCTTTACCTTGTAAATATTTCAAGCTGTTCTCTTTAACCTATTAATCACCACTTTCTGAATGAGCGTTGAATATGCTACCGCCTAAACAAACATTTGCTCTCTTATGTAGCTGGCTCTGTGAAGAATGGAACACCACCCAGCTTTTTTCTCCATCATTAATATTCCCTTCCTGACTTGCCCGTTGCAGAATCTAATTGAAATTCACAAAGATAAAAAGCTTGCCATTTAAAACCTTGCAACTAGGGAATCTAAACATCTACTTGGTGTGAACACTTTACTTCCTGCTGTATTTTCCCATTTTCCATTTCTATAAGTCAGTCTTCAGAAGACTCAAAAGATATTCAAAAGATCTCTATCACTTTGCCATTTACATTACTACTAAATTGTTTATATTTTGATAATGGAAGTTGAACAGCTCATGGTTTCTTCCTGACCTTAATTGCTATGCTCCAACAAAACTTCTCTTTTATCAATGTCACAATTTTTATAAATATCTTCATAGATTATTTTCATATTTACCGCTGTAGTATTCCCCCCTAACCCCTGGATTCTAATGCTGAGTTACAGTATTTAGGTTTGTTTTATCTCAAAATCTGTATCTATTTGAATGATTTGTCCTAAAAAAATTAGGCTTTCCCTTTAGCGTCCTTAATAAATTTGTAATCTCATTGCCATATGACCCATTTACATGGAACTTGACAAAGTTTGTGCTATTTGGGATGATTTTCACCATTTGTTTACTTTTTTAACTGTATGTTAGAACTGGCTATAGATTTGACTATGCACTTACTTGAGACAGACTCAGTAAAAACTAGATTCCAAAATTTCATTATAAACCGTAATTTTTAGGGACGCCTAGGTGGCTCAGTCGGTTAAGCATCTGACTTCGGCCCAGGTTGTGATCTCGTGGTTCATGACTTCCAGCCCAGGCTCTGTGCTGACAGCTCAGAGCCTGGAGCCTGCTTGGGATTCTGTGTCTCCCTCTCTGTCTGCCCCTACCCCTCTGGCACTCTCTCTCTCTCTCTCTCTCTTTCAAAAATAAATAAATATTTTAAAAATTAAAATACAAAATAAACCATAATTTTTAGTTCTTCCCCACAAAATGTTTTGCAATTTTACTGAAGTTGGGTAGCTGTGATTTAAACTTCAAAGCACCTTAAAGGACATGAAAATCAGAAAAGCTGATTGCAGGCAGTGGACCTCTACTCTTACTGCTGTATCTTTACTGGTATTTCACTGTGTTGCTAGTCCAGCTGAATATCTTCTAGGATTGTCCCACAAATATCTAATAAATCCAGTCTGATTTTTTTCTCCTCTCTGTGATGGAGCACAGTGAACTGTGATTTGAGAGCCAGCCTGGGTAGGTCGTGACTAAGCTCTTCCTACCCACTCCTTCTGGAGCATGTCTTAAGGCAACCAATCCTGTAGAAGAATTGACAACTAATTGGTTGCCAGTAAATCTAAATTTGTTCCTGCCCAGGCTAGGGCAGTGCAAAACCTCCTGTTTGAATTTGTTTGAATTACCCTCCTACAGAT